CAGTGGTCTCCGATGGTGTGTGTGGTATTGTCTATGATGGATTGTAGTGATGGTGGTGCGGTTGGTAGAGGTGGATGTAGCAACGTGGTTTTAGGATTTTGGGCTGTTTTCTTCTTTCGATCTGCTTCGTTGGAGCTTTAGGGGGTGCTTAGCTGATTTTTTTTTGTGGTGTTTGGGTGGTGCTCAACTAGTACTTTATTTTAGATTGTGAGGTGCTGATGGCAATGTGGCAGTGCTGATTTTAGTTTTTATTTCTATTTCTTTTGTGAGTTTTAGATTGTAAAATTGTATTAATGGTGCCGGTGTAACGATGAAGTGGTACTTACTCTTTGGGTTCTTTTTCTGTTTTCGTTTTGTTACCAATGTTAAAGCGGTGTTGGTGGTGATATGGTATTGATGGTGGTCATGGTAGTGGTGTGATGACTGTGGGTCGTGGGGTTTATGACCATTTGGTTGGTGGCGGCGATGACTATGGTTGTGGATTGGTGGCGATGGCGTTGTTGGTGGGTGGTCGTAGCGGTGGTGATTGTAGGTTTGGAGATTTCTTGGATGGTTATGGTGGTGTGGTGTAGTGTAGTGGAGATGATAGTTGCAAGTATTGGTGGTGGTCACAGATTATTTGATTGATTGTGACCATTAAATTGGTTAATATGCTGTGATCAATAAATAATATGTGACCCATAAAAAGGATAAACTGTGATCAATAAATAATGTATAACCTAAAAAATTGTTAATTTGTGACCAATACTTTGATAATTTGCGACCGTATAATAAGTTGTGTCTTATAATATTTGTGATCGATAAATAAATTGTGACTTATAAATTTTTAATTTGTGATCGATAAATAAATTGTGGCTTATAAAGTTTTTGAATTGTGATCGTAAAATAATTTATGATATGTAAAAATTTTGATTATGATAAAAAATAATATGTGGCCAACTAAATCATTAATTTGTGACCAAATTGTATAGATTTGTGACCTTAATATATCTAATTAGTATAATATATAATTAATTAATTAAATCATAAATAATTTTAAGAAATATCTTATTTTTGAAATTTGAAAACTTTGTTCTTATTTTTGAAATGTGTGATACTTAACCTCTTAATTATGATTTTTTTTCAAAGGAAAATGGGAAATTGACACCAATATTGTTAAGGGGAAAATTCATATCTTGGTCCTTAAGCATAAGTCAATTCAATTTTAAGAGAACAAATTTGTAATTTCAAAACTCAAGTAATAAATATAAAATTAAAAATATTTTATTAATTAAATATATTAAAATCACCATTATATAATTTGTAATCACAATTACATATTTATAAGTCACAAATTATTTATTGATCACAAATCAAAAATTTTGTAGGTCACACTTTTTTTTATTATTACAAATCACAAGTTTTAGAGATCACAAATTAACAAATTAGTTAGTCAGAAATTATTTATAAATCACAAATTACCATTGGTCACAAATTAACCAAATATTTGGTTAAAACACCAAACACCACACCTACCCCAATCCCACCATCAACACCAATAATTGGTCATAATCATCCAAATAATTGGTTACAAATTCTTCAACCTATCTCACACCAACCGAACACCATGTCACCTAAACATCCAACACCTACTCCACAACCACCACCTACATCTCACCACCACCACTATATGCACCACTACATCGCTTGCATTACCATCAACAACTACAAAAACCATCATCGTACCGACCACTCAGCACATCTACACACCGCATCATCTGAACTCCATCATCGTACCATTTTCCACCACGCGAGGTGCCATCACTACTGCTTGATTTGTGTAGCGATAATTACCACCCTAAATTAGGGATGTCAATTCAAATTGTCAAAATCGAAAATCGCGTTTAATCGAATTAAATGGGACAAAAAAATCGAACCGATGACGCAATAGAATGGATATGGTATATGATTTTAATGCCCCCTTTCGGGGCAGGACGGGTATGATATTTACGTTGTCGTCTCGTCCTGAATCGATTACTTGTTAAAAGAAATTAATTGGACAATTGGGCTTTCATTATTCTTTCTATAATTTTGTCCAGTCCAAAATTCTGACCCATTATCGACCCGCTAAGTCCAACTAACCTAACTCAGTAACCTCACATCCTACTACATAAATAGTAAACATATATGGAAATTTTTTGTTAAATTCAAATTTTGCATTTAGGAATTGTGATATTGTTTGCAAAATTAACTTAGTATTATGTTTTTGTTTTCATTGATTTTATATATATATTTTTTTTCAATTTGACGGCTGCACCTATAAAAAATAATTTATTTTTGTGGTTATTAACCGCCCGAACCACATCAACTTGTGTGGTTATGGTATGACAAAAAAATTGGTGGTTCTGTGATGATTTTGACCGGACCGAATCGAACAATTGCCAACCCTACCCTAAACCTCCACAAAAGGCTAAAAAAGAAACAATCTATTACCATAACTACGATTCCATAGCATCAAAGGAATCAAATTCAGGAAAAAAAAAAAAAGGAAAAAAAAAAAAAAAAAAAAAGAACAAATCTCATGGTATCGTAGTGGGTGTGTGCCACTAGATTCTCCACAGATCGCGCCCCCACCAAATTTTCCCAACTCATGGAGTGCACTCGCACCACCGCAGCGATGTCCACACTACAGCCTACCCTCACCACTTCAGTGGTCTCCAACCATTGTCTTCCGACAATTGTGAGAGAGAGAGGAAAAGATGAAATTGATTAGGGTTGGGGAAGTGAATGGGAGCCTGTAATTTAATCTATAATATTATTATATGTAAAATTAAAAATTGAATTATCACCTATTTTTGTACAAAAAACTTGTAAACTTTATTTTTGAAATTGAAAGTTAAAAAAATATGGATTGATGTAATTTTCACTATTATTAAAATGGAAAAAACGAAAAACAGCAAATTTCATCCACCTCCACCGCCAGCCCCAGTCTTTAGTTTATTTTTTGTTTAATCACTTATAGTGTACATTGTTTTGCAATAAAAAATGTCAAGTCAAAAAATTCAAAAATAATGATGAAATTGTCGGTTGAAGACTCCTTCGCTACAAATAAAAGAAAAATAAGAATGATTTGGAACTTTAGCTATCTAAATAATAAGTTGAGAATCAGTTTGCATGTTTCGAAATGTTTTATGATTCCAACTAAAATATTTCTTTATTAGAATTGATCGTACAATGACTTTTTTTTTTATTATTACTTAAATTTTACAATCACATGTTGTGGGTCATTACAAAAAAGTAAATAAATAAATTAAAGACAAATTTTTTTTCCTACTAAAATAAGGTTGAGAAAAGAGTTCAATTGTTTTTAATTAACTTGTTGGTTATGTTCTTTGTTCTTTTTATTCAATGTTTGAGGGTTGTTTTGTACTTAATTTCTAACCCACTGTATATACTCTTAACTTCTAAATAATTACTGACTTTTACAGTTTTTTATAGAATAATGAAAGTCTTTAATATATTTGTAAATTTTTATTTGAAGAATTTTATTGGAAATTTGGATAATAAAATTCGGAAAAATAAAAGTAATTAAGACTATACGTCCATATAGCGTATAGGCTATAGCACATTATTCAGTTTATTTAATTATTTATTATTTCAATACAATGTGAAATTATTCTAAACGATTACTCATTTACTTGCATGACAAAATGATTTAAAACAATCGTCATTAGAAACGAATAACAACAAAATTATATTACTCATTTCAATAAAAAAATATTTTTAGAAAAATTATAAGTCACCTCGGATAATTAAGTAAAGAAAATATGAAAAAACATTTATGAAATTTCATTACTCATGGTTACGGATTGGCAAATAGCCTATCAGCTCGAGGAACTTGTAGAGAAAACAATTCGAACTGGCTCGGGGCGAAGCCCAAATTTCAAGACTTGGCTTGAGCTGGGCCAGCTCATGTAAATTGTGAAAATGGCCCATGTCACAAGTTCGGTTTGACTCGTTGACAACCTTCAATTTTTTTTTTTGTTTCATTAATATTTAATTTAAAATTTAAATCAATAAAGTATAATTTATATATAAATATGCTTACATAATTAATATTCATAATTATGCTACAACTATCTATATTTATAATTTATTATCATATTCATTAATATTCTTGCTATATTTTATTGATATAAATTTTAAATTTTATTATATAGGAGTTAATACAATATTATTTGTTATCTCATGTGTTGAAATTTAAAAAATATTTTCTATTCCAATATTTTTAATTGTACAAATGAATATCAGGATGTTTACACACTTAAAATTGTTCTTTAATTCATATATTCTCATATCCATATGAATTTTTTTTTTTTTGTATTTTAATCTAGAAAAAGAACTTGTTTGATTTCTTTATACGAAAATTTAATGAATTAAAAAATTCACGACCCTGCTCAGCTCGGTGAAGTCCTAACAAAAGCCCGAGTCAAGCCTCCAAATTTCAGCCGAACTTTGGCTCAACTCGAGCTAAAAAAGCTCGAGCTTTTTTTGACCAAGCCAAGTCAACCCAACTCGTTGACACCCTTACTCAAGGTAGGGGAAGAAAAAGAAATTTCACTGTTTCAATTTTATTACTCCACATATCAACAACTATAGCAATCCCCATTCACTCGCATTCTTCCTGTGCTGTGAAATAATTATTTTAATCATTCGTGTTTCACGTTATGTGGCTTCAAAGTTTTTAATATCTCATAACATGGAAAGATTTTTAAAAGTCCATAAAACCAGACATTGTAAATTCATAAAAAAATTTGTCTCCATCGGATAATTGTCATAGTCATCCTAGGTCGAGGTTCTCAATTCGAATTAAGAAATAAAACTAAAATACAAAATAAATAAATAAATAAAATAATAATAATAACAGTAAAATAAAATAATACTTATTATCTTCTCAGTTTGTTCATTGATCGAACTGACCTACCGGCCAATGTTCACACCATTGGAAAAAACACTAGATATACAAAAGCCAGTATGCACAGAAATTGAACAGCAAAACATTCGAGAAGAGTGCAAGAATATACGTATATAATGTTATATTACAAATATTGCTAAAACTCTCTATAATAAAAATTGTAAATAAGATAGTTCATAATTGACAAACTATCAAATTTAATCCACAAGGGATTTTCACTAATAGCCTACAGTTGCTTACTATGTCACACGAAAGTAACATCAGCATCTAAATCCAACCTCACTGCTAATACGAAACTCAAGCCAAGCCTCCGCTCATTGCTGTGCGGATTATTTGAAATAAAGCTGGCAAAAGAGAAAATTGAATATAAATAAGTAAACTATCGGGTTAGGAAACATAAGGACAGAACTTGTAAGCTATTGTATTGACGTTGCTACAAAATGAAATAAATATTAGCAGTTGAGTAAACTTAGTATCATGTGAAGAAAGCCTAAAAACCTATATCCGTATGGGGCAAAAAGAAGGACTAGTTTAGTGGATACCTACAAACTTCAATAAATTGAATTCTAGGAATCTTAGTTTTGCTCTGCTGAAGAATGGAGTTAGTATATAGGTTTACACTTCAAATCCCGATTTCCTCCACCAAGCCAATGGGAAAGAGCAGAGAGATGAATGACTATAGGCATGGAACTGATTATCCTTTCTTTGCCCTTTGGATTGCTAGCTGACTTACCTTGCTTGGATTCTCAAACTCTAAGAGCGAATTTAAGGAATTTGTTTGCATCCAATTGATGGCATATTGGCATCTGTCTGACCATTTGACAGAGATCTCAGTGACATAAAATTGGGCGAGTGAATGGACTAACTCTAGACTTGCAGGAGCTCTCACTCTGTAAATTTTCAGCATCTTCAAATGGCCAAACATAGATGATTGAGGAACTTTCTCCCATACAACACTTTTAGAATGTGAAAATGAATTTTTTTCCACTACTTCAGGGATTTCAAAATAATGTCCATTTTTTTGAATTTTTTTGACAAATATAACATTCTCTCTTCCAAAGTGTTACCAAAGTCTCTCTCCTTTTTGCATGAAATTTGAGCCATCAAAGCATTCTCATCAAACTTAGGCAAAGTGACGAGATTTCTAGTCCATTTAGAAACCCTAGTCTTCCTCGTCAACTTTGTCCAGATTGCCTAGAGGGCATTTTAGCAAAAGCACACTACCAAGATGACTGAATGGGCCACACATAATAAATTTAGCAGGGGGCAAATTTTATTTTGGCCAAAAAACTTGACAAACTAGAAAAAAAAATAAAATCCGATAATGATTTTATCAGCAAATCCACTCAACAAACAATGAATCACCACATGTATGGTCTGTGGCATCCTTAAAGCACAAAGTCTCATCCTCAAATAGTTAATTCCACGTAAGCCCAACATTTTTTTACCTCGTTCTTTCCATCCACAATCCTACGTTCCATAGAATGATAACACTGCTTGTCAGCTTGATGGTAAACTATGTCCTAGAAAAAGTTTCGGAAATTAAAGTATATTCAAATCAAAAGGATGATTGGTAAATGGCACACATGCATGTCTGCATGTGTAGATTTGTCCACATAGATCTTTCTGCGATGATAAGTGTGCAAGGCTGCAAGCCTCTTAATCATCCTCATAGCAAAGATTAGAAATAAACTCTAGATAAGAATGAGAGATGGCAGCAACTCACAAGATCCAATGACAACAAATATGAAGAATCCAATCACGATTGGACCTACAGGATAAGGATTGCCTTTCTTTTTAGTTGTTTCAATTCCCACTCCCCTCTTCTTTATGTTCTTTTCAAACTTCTCTACCTTCCTGTCCGCAAGACGCCTTGAGGTTGTCTGCAGATGCAAGGAATAAAAAAATAATTCAGTACTTAGAACTGGAGGATAACTAAATTTCAAGATACCAAGATATAGATAATTTACAGAAGATCTAAATTCATTGTTTTCCAAGTAAAATTACCTAAATGTAAAAAACACTTTAGTAACATAAAGAGAGGACGAGAGACTGCTCAAAGGTTCAGGTGTCTAGAGATGGTTCTCAGTTGAATTATGAGATGAAAGCATTTAAATTAAATGTGTCACTACTGTGTATTACTGTAAAATTTGAGAGGGATATTACAAGAACATGTTCTTATTCTTGAAAAACATTGGAAAAGGGAAGACATGGTGTTTCCATTTTGATCAATTGATGAAAGGTTTATAAATGCTTAAGCCATTTTTTATCCATATATTTCGAGGATTGACAAGTATTACCAACTTATCCATCACTGGTTTCTATCTTTATAATTTAAACCTATAAACACTTCCCGGACATCTGACATGTGATAGTTTCTACTGTCCACTCATCAATTCGTCAAATTGACAACTACATTACAAAATCATAGGCCAAAACTAATTCATAATCACCTTTTACTAATTTTTTCAACTCAAAAGGCATGTAATAATTAACCTACCAGACTATAGTGCCAAAATTTCATTAGTCACGTAATTCCCAAAGAAAAAAATTAAATATTCACGTTTACCGTATGTGATAACGAATCATCTAGTAGCAAATTTTCAAGTAAAATATGATTCATCCAGCAAACTAAAAAGCGTTTCATGAATAATTTAATTAGTTAATTACGATGCTAATGTCAACCGAGTATCATCAAGCGAATGGCAGATAAAACAATCCACCCAGATTAAAAGAAAGATGTAATTCGGATATAAAATGTAAATATCCTCAAATCACTATCAAATTCGAATGCGACACAAAAATAAAAATAAAAATAAACAAAAAGCGGAGATTCAAAAGCTCATCCGCCTTTAAATTTATGAAAACTGAATAGACGAGATTTTACCATGATTGTGAAAAATATTTGCAGATCAGATGGAAATGCCAAAGACACCGGTTTTTTGTTCTTGGACAATACTTCTTTCCTAAAATTACGTAAATAAATTGTAGTGTTTGTGGATTCTAGTAACTTCTTAACAAATAAAAAAATAATAATAATGCCCTTGTTTGATCCCCATTTTGGAAGATAAAATAAATTTTTGAATAGTATGTTAATGGGAAATGTTTGGGTAAAAAATAAGAAATTTTTTAATTTGTGTATAATATTATTTTATTAAAAAATATGTGATTGAAATGATATCAAAACACCGTTGAAAAATGTATTTTGGTAGAAAAATGGGGTTCAAACAAGGGCAATATCCAAACTTATTGAAGTTTTATTTGATTCCTGAAGATTAATATCAGATTTTCAACAAAATTTAATAAAAGTTGATTTAAAAAAAGAGAGGAAAATTACAACAGCGGTCCCTAATCTTTCACTTTTTTGCAAACTTTACCCTAATCTTCATTTTATGCCATCCACAATCTCAAACCTTTCGAAAATATATACGCGAAGTCCAAATGGATGGAAACCGTCTATTTGATCATTAGTTGACAAAAAAAGTGGACTTTGACTGATTTTGACAAAATTAGAATGGGTAAAATAGTAATTTTACAATTATCACATTAAATAAATAAACCAAATTTTAAAAAAAAATAAAAAAATAAAAAGGGCTTCTCTTCCCAGCCAACAGCAGTGCCTGCACACTGCCGACACCACCACCGCCTCCTCGACGACTAAGCACTATTTCCCACAGCAGTCGTCGCCCTCACCACCTCCAACATCTTCTTTACCATTAAATGGAAAATCAAAACCATCGTCCAAATCAAGCATCATTCACCCATCCAAATTCACAATTTGCCCGACGTGAGAAAAACTTGGACAAATCTTTTTCTACCTTAAACACCCAATCCTTTAGATTTTCTTCATCGAACACAAGCATCTTGTATTGCCTGTGTTGAATTTTAAATCACCTTAATTTCTCATGACTTCCTACAATTTTTGAATCATTTTGTGTCCCTTAGCTGTTTCATAATTGTCAACATTCAAATATAATGTTGGGTTGTATAGCAACCAAAATAAATTTTGGCTGTTGGTTTTGGTTGATGTTGGTGGTTGGTTTTAGTTTGATTGTGGTGGTGGCAGTTTACGCGGCTACTGTGTGTTATGGTGGTGACTGTGTTGATCGTTCAATTGTGGTGATGGTGGTTTACCGACAAAATTGTGGATTTGGGCGGGGAATGGTAGGAGGCAACAAATTCTGTGGGTGGTTAGTCGTCGACGAGGAGGCGGTGGTGGTGACGGAAGTGTGCTGACTGTTCGACTGTTGGCTGGAAAGATAAGCCCTTTTTATTTTTATTTTTATTTTTGATTTATTTATTTAATGTGGTAATTGTAAAATTATTATTTACCCCTTCCAATTTTGTCAAAAATAGTCAAAGTCCACCTTTTTGGTCAGCTAACGGTCAAATGGACTATTTTCATCCATTTAGACCCCGAGTGAATATTTTTTAAAGGCTTGAGACTATGGATGGCACAAAATGAAGATTATGGTAAAGTCTGTAAAAATGTGAAAGGTTAGGAGCTTCTGCTGCAATTTTTCCTTAAAAATGTGTGTTTGAAAAGGTATTGATCATACAAGTATGTGGTTAAAATAACTTATTGACTTTGATTTAAATTAAAATATGTAGTAAATAATATAACTATTAGCAAATGACAATTATACCTCGTTGTCCTAATTTTTATTATCATTGTATCTATAATTCATTTCTACAAATATGGAACTTTGGTTCTCAATATGATACACACAATTCTATTGACTTTTATTTATTATTCTATTTTTTACTCTGTTTATAATAAGTTATTATCACGTATACCAAAGTTAATTGGATGATATATGAATTTTTCTTATATACTTATGCAACATAATGGTGCAAACTTGTAGTCGAATTCTGACCTGCTCTTTCAATTCATCTTGCACTTATACTTTTTGTTTTCTCAATTTAACATTTGTACTAATGGGGTACTTTTCAAAAGCACAAAGTCAGACAACCACTTTGTGACATTGATCAAAAAAAATTTGTCATTCACCGAAAGGGCCTTTTGAAGAATAAATGTCATTTTTGCCCTTATTATATTTTCTAATTGCAAAAATATATCATTTGTTCAAAAGACAATAATACCCTATTTCAAAAAATTAATAAATCCAAATACTCCCACTTAAATTTCAAAACGAAATCACCTTCCTTATTAGATTCTCCAACATAGTTAAAAAGGAATTTCTTTTTCCATTTGCTTAAACATTGAAATCTCACTAAATTATCAAAAACTCAACAAAAAAATATTACTCACAGCCGGCACTCGAAATTGATAAGTATAAATACGTATTTTTAATTTCATTTCAGTTAAATTAGTACATTGTTTGAATCTTTAAATCTTACTTCAGCTTATAATTTTAGAAAAATAAATTATTACAGTTTTAAACGGATGTATAATTTTTTTTAGCAAAAACGAGGAAAAAATTCAACTGTTCAGTAAAAATCAGTAAAATGGAAAAGTCGGACAAACAGTCGGCCAAACAGTCTGGGCCGGATTAACAGGCGTTCGGGCCTTCTTTTTGTCTCGCCTAGCATATTTTTTCATCCTTTTATTCTCGTAATTACAATTTTTTTAATAAATGACGTTTCCTAATGCAGATATGGGATCAGCTGCTGTCTCGATTTGTTACTTTAGTGAATTTGAAAAGAATGAAAATGATCGATGGGTGTGGAAATGGACAAGTGAAAGACATGGTTATGCTGCAATTGTAATAACATCAAGTACATCATATGCAAAAATGTATAGTTAGATACATAACTTGTTGAAAGTCGATTCCTCTGAGTACGACATGGAATTGGGATTTCTAATGGACGAGCATACATCCATTTCAATTCCACCTATAATGGTTACTTCTGAAAATGAAATGAAAGTTTTAATGAAATGAGTTTTGGGACACAGTGGAGATGGTTTGTGATGATGTTGTAGCTATTCCAGAGACAGTTACTCCTCACCATAATCTCACTGTTACACACAAAATTTGCTCGGTAGTTCAAGACAACAAAATAGATAATGACTTTTCAAATGAGAATTTGATTGCTTTATCTCATCTGAGACATGAGTCGAGTGGGAGCTCACAAGCTGGATCGAGTGCATGATCCTCAAATTATTCGTGTATAGTCCCCAATGATGAAAATTTGTATGTCGAGCAACTGTTTGACACGAAGAAAGATTTGTAGGAAGCTGTTCACCGGATTGTTTTGAAACACAATTTTGAGTTTAAAATAAAGAAATCAAACAAGTCGACTTACACAATTGTCTGTGTTAACGATAGTTTCCTTTGACGTTTGGGAGCAACGAAAATGGATACGAACAAGTATTTGTACTTCGTAACTATGCATGAGAACATACTTGCAAAGTGGGTATTCGTTGAAATAATCATAGGAAAACCCGATCATGGTTTATTGGTTGAGATGTAATGCACAAGTTTCAGGGCCCACGAACGATCTACGGACTTTCAGACATCATTAACGACGTTCGTCGAGGGTACGGAATGCTCATGAGTTATCAGAAGGCCAAATAATGTGCGTTGGAAGACTTGATGGATTCGACCGATGAGAATTATACTAAATTGGTTAGGTATTTCTTTGTTTAGATGTTTATTTGATATTTATTTTAAATGTTATTATTCATTTCAACTGTTTAATTAGTTATTTAATCAATTGTTTACTTAATATCGAACTAATTATTTAATTCAATCATTAATTTCAATTGTTTATTTAATTTTTTATCGACTGTTTATTTAGTGTCTAATTAATTATTTAACTCAATTGTTAATTTTTCAGTTTATTTAATATTGTTTATTTAATTATTTAAATTATGATTATTGTTTATTTAAATTGGTCAGATCTTTCTATAACATGGGCATAATGAATACTGGATCGACATTTTTTATTAAGAAGGATAACGAAAATCGTTTCAAGTATTTCTTTATGGCCCATTGGACAATGCGTTCGAAGATTTCGAAATGCAATGCGACCCCTAATCCTAGTCGACGGTAGAACCCTTAAGGCGAGATACAGGGGCAAGTTAATTATTGCAACATGTCAAGACGCTAACATCCAAATTTACCATCTTTCATTCGGTATAGTCGACAGAGAAAATGATCTGGTGAGGCGTTGGTTTTTCACGAAGTTAAGGGAAGTAATTGTGGATGTCGAGAACCTTACATTCGTAATCGATTGAGAGCAGTCAATAATTAACAGTATCGTCGAAGTCTTCCCCGAGGCACATCATGGTTATTGTATGTATTATATACAGGAAACCTAAAGACCAAATATCAAGGCAAGGGCATCGTTACGTTGTTTAGGAGAGCTGCAGAGGCTTGCAGTTTTCAATAGTTTGAAAAGCTTATGGTTGAAATAGAAAGTAAATTCTATGATGCATGGGAGTATTTGACAGAGATGAGGATCGAACATTGGGTACGATCACATTTTCCAGGATGTCGATACAACATGATGATGTCGAACAATGCAGAGTCGCTCAATACCTTATTCAAGAAGGATTAAGAGCTACCAATTTGCAATGCTTGAGAACATTCGTGACAAGCTGTAATAGTGGTTTCATGATCGTTGAGAGGAATCACAAAGTTGTACAAGTGTGCTAACCACGGTTCAAGAAGATAAACTCTTCAAGACTCTAGAGGTGGCGAAAAAGGTATATGTAGAACAGCTGGATAAGTTTCGCTTCTCCATGAGATGTGCACCAATACATCGTCGACTTGAATGATAACACGTGCACGTGCACGTGTAAACGGTTTCAGTTGGAGAGTTTTCCATGCACACATGCAGTGGCAGTGGCTATGTATAGAGGAATTTCACCATACACCTTATGCAGTGTTTATTACACGACTGATTTTTGAAGAGCAGCATATGTTGAAACCATCTTTCCTGTTGGGAAGTTCCCGATTACATTTTCTCATTGAATAACTTGTTGCCACCGTAGTCTGTCCACACACTCCTAGACGTACACTTACGTCTAGAATACCATCGACCGAAGAATTTCTCCAACCTCGTAAGTGTGGTAGGTGCGTTGCA